GAGGTCTTGACCCCCCCCCCCTTGGCCCCTTGCGCCCAGAAGTGACTTATAAGTGGCCACATGGAGGCAGGCTTGTAGCACAAAAAGCAGAAAAATGACGTCTTTGGGTCCAAGGCAACCAGGAAGGGCCCCAAGCCAAAAGGAAGAGTCTCCAGGCAGACAAAAAAAGTTCGACTGACCGGAAGGCTTGTTGGGAGAATTGGTCGATGTCGTTTTAAGGCTAATTGCGCCCGCCAGGGGCTCAGGGAGCATACATTGTTGCCGGAGGTGCTACATCTTGACTTGCCGAGGCAATATCGGTGGCTTGGGGTACTTCCACAACGGCATTAAGCTTTCGCAATTTGGGAAAAGAAGTAGCGCCTGGAGAGTGTACCTAACGCCCTTATCACGTGGTAGGATAGGTACTCCTGATCACTCAGGGGCATTTCAACAGATTCCATGCGTTACCTCGGAAAGCTCTGCGCTGTTGGCGGAGCGCCATGCGCACGGGCACTTTGCACTTCCACGGGCACGTTCGATCGTTCAGAGATCCTTAACATTTGTCTACGGTTCTTTACATTTGCTCGGAAGGTCCTGCGCTGTTGCCGAGAGCCTAAAAGTTTCGACTAACGAGACATTCTCGGTATGTCCAGGGGCCCTTCTACGTTGGTCTAGGGTTCTTCTCATTTGCGGAGGGATCTGCGTTCTTGTAAAGAGCTCATCTGTTGACCTGCCGGGACACCCCGATCCCTCAGAGGCCTACTTTATTGTTCTTGAGTTTTTCATATAAGCTTAAAAGCTATTACCGCTGTTTTAGACAGCTACCTTTATATCTGTTGTGTATCTGTCTTTTTTTTACTCACTGCTGTTTTTATCTGGCATTCAGGTAGATCAGACGCGCCCCATTTGGTCAGCAATCCCAATTTTCTCGAAGGCCCTCGGCATAGCTTAACATATATTTGAAGTAACCGTCCCACAATTAATGTCATGAGCCCCCTGAGCGTCATTATGAAAGCAATAGGTTTCTTTTGCTTTGGTTTTCCCAACATGTTTGTTGTGTGATGTTCGCCATACACTTATTGACAAAAATGTGTACAATATCGTTTGAGAGCTTGAAACCTTCCATTCATATGAATTGTAAGGACATAATTACACACCAAACAGAGAAAAGAGGTGCGCATATAACACAATTATTACGTGAATCCAACGAAACGGCGCATTATGGGTTTGATTTATCTCATTTTGCGGTGTTTAGCACAATGATCCTTTCGAAGCACACATTGAACGCGGGAAACATGGCCTGCGTGGATTTTCCTTCACAAAGCAGTAAGTGTATCTATCGCCAAGAAGGGGCACAGGGCACAGTATGAATCAATGATACCGTTATTTTCTGTAACACCAATACTTGCTTCAAAAACGAGAAGCTTTACACATCATATATGTGTGGCAGTGCGCTCCAATAATGCAATCTGCCTCACCCCCTAGGTCAACTTTCATGGATATGAAGCCCATGGGCGGTACTCGCGTCCGGATCAGTCCGCTTCATGGTTGACCTTGTTTTGGCGTCGGTCACCTCTTGTTTAAGCTTTCTGGAACAGCACATGTGCCTTGTAACATGCATGCCATGTTTATCGCATGCCTCGCGTGGCATGCGAGACGCGCGATAAACGCCCTGCACTAATTATTGAGTAGTTTTGCGGAACAACAGTTGTAATATGGGGCAACTAGCGTCTGGCGCTTTCAGGAGAAAACTTCTGGCTTCCTGCCTGTCTCGTGCCAATAATCGATCTGCGAATGTGGAAAGAACCTAGCACATGATCAGGCCACCTATTTCTCCAGCAGTTCACGCATGAAGGTTTCCGCTTTCTTCCCGGTTGCATTTCATCGGCTGGGTGTACGAACTTGCAGTCGACACATAATAAAACTCACTATTTAATCCAGTTCAGTCGGTTCCCTGGTTATGAGCAACTGCCGCCAACAGCCATCTCGTTAACAGTATAAATGCAGCACGCTGTCTCGACCGTTGCGTAAACAGTCGTTGCATGAACGTTTTCAGTTTACATGCGGGCTGCATCGCAATGGTTCGTTCCTGAAGCTCCTAAAGCGCATCACCAGTGTCGTTATTAATTTCTACGCAATCGGCCTGGCTGTCATGTGCACTTGCTGGTAGCAGTTTGTTCATAACCGACACAAGGTCTGCCCGACGTTCCAGCCGCCCCGATCTAATAAAACTATCGTGTGTACCTCGGTTTCACTTTTCATGTTATTATATTTAAATGACTTGCAGATTTTAAATAACTCGAATAATGAATACCTTTCATGAAACCGACCGACTGAGACTAACATGGAGAACCGACTGAATCATCTGGATAAGCTTACCTTATTCCAGGAGCGTCGAATTGACTGAGTAAATCAGCACAGCCAGCTATAATCTAGCAACTAGCAATCTGGCACCACCAATCATTCGAAGAAATCGGCATCCATAGCACCCAGCTCGGCCCATCACCACCTGGTCACATTAGGTCCCGTCCCACTCCATCCGGTCCTGACCGGTCCTGTCCAGGCCTGTTTCGGCCCGTTTAGTTCCTTCCAGCCTTGCCTGGTCTCATTCATTCCCCTGGTCACGCCCAGTTCTGACCGGCGGCGGCCGGCTTCGACCAGCTTTACTATAAGTTGGGCTTGGTTAGTTACCTTGCAGACGCTTTTCTATCAGAAAGGTATTTATTTGCTTCGAACAGGGTGATGAGGTCACTGGGACTAAGATTTCAGTGCGTCTCGGGCCGCTAGACGCGGAGCGCGATGTTGCGGGACATCTGAAACATTCGAAAACTCCGTGTTCATAATGTAAAAATTGTTGGTCAAAAGCACGTTGATAGAGAGAGAGAGGGAAAGAGAGAGAGAGAGAGAGAGAGAGAGAGAGAGAGAGAGAGAGAGAGAGAGAGAGAGAGAGAGAGAGAGAGAGAGAGAGAGAGAGAGAGAGAGAGAGAGAGAGACGGCTTACAAAGAAAAGCATGGTTTCGAGTATCAACTCGAAGCCAACTCGATGCCATTGCGAGGGTTTCCGTGCCCACGCGTTGCAGGACGTGTACTTCTCCGTACCGCCGAAGATGATTTCCAAGGCTCTCTTCTGCACTTTCTCAATGCAGTGTCAACTCGAAGCAGGAGTGCACAATTACGTGTGTGTACCGATCCATGTGTATACTTACCTAAGTTGACTATGCGTATGTATGGTTCAACGCAGTGAATATTCTTTGCCTACAAGCTCCTCCTATGTAGGTTGCTACCAAAATGATTATATATCTGTGTTAATGAGAGTGATTACATGCGGATACTTGATTTGCGTAGCCACATACCACAGCAAAGCGTTTGGAGTGTGACTGCACTTTGTTTTTTTCTGCCGGAGATCACCATTCGCTGTTTTAGGATCAGATCTTTATGCATGGGAGGCGCTTGCATTTGTTTTCCTAGCCTTAGGCACAGTTTTTCTCTTCTGTCAGCGAGGGTTTCCGTGCCCAAGCGTTGCAAGACGTGCACTTTTCCGTACGGCCGAAGATTATTTTCAAGGCTCTCTCTGCACTTTCTAAAGATGTTGCGCCTGCTTGGTGGTGAGCACCGCATGAAAAACCGGTGCACAATATTCCAGCAATGGTCGAACTTCAACTGCCTCAAAATCAAACAGGATGCTGGGCCTTCTCATGTGAAATGTGCGAAGGTCGTCGTGTCCTCGTCAAGTGCTGTTCAATCATAAGGCTTTGCTGTGTGCCTTCAACGCTTATGCCAGATCATTTATAGGGTGGCATTGTTTGGAGCGCTGCTGCCGTCTCACACCTCGCCCGGCTCGAACGACCGCAACACCGGTTTATCATGTGGTTAGGTTTGAGCACCCAGTTCCGGTGTCCTTCACTGGATTATAAGTATATTCTCGCTTATTTCAAAACAGCATCCATCAAGGCACGCTTTACGCAGCCTGACATTTTTTAAAACAAATTTCATCATCAGAGGCTTGACTGCGCTCACCTGACATCACTGTTCGGTCTGGCTGAACACGTCCAGCACTCTCGGCGCACCAGCCTTCCCCACGAGTTATTCACAACAGTCAACACTTAAAATTAAAAACGGATTCGTCACCTGCAATCGGTTTTTTACAGCACTCTCCGTCAACTGACCCTTTACAGACAACAAAATAATTACGATCTCATTTGTTTAGGTCCGCCGGCGCTCGCGGAGCGTTCTTTTGATGACCGTTGCGTCTGAGTGCGAGGTGTGTGTGTACGCGTGTGTGTGTGCGTGAGTGCGCGTGTGCGTGTGTGCGTGTGTGTGTGTGTGTGTGTGTGTGTGTGTGTGTGTGTGTGTGTGTGCGTGTGTGTGTGTGTGTGTGTGTGTGTGTGTGTGTGTGTGTGTGTGTGTGTGTGTGTGTGTGTGTGTGTGTGTGTGTATGTGTGCGCACGTGTGCGTGTGCGTGTGCGTGTGCGTGTGCGTGTACGTGTGCGTGGCTCTATTTTTTGTTAGCGTGTGTGTTGTGTATTCCTTGCTTTAAAAACTGGGCTGCTTCCGCAATTGAGCTTTTTCCCGGGACTGCTTATGCTCTGAATAAACAAATAAACAAACGGGGCTCTTGGTCTTTTCACACGGGTTGGAGTCAAAGTCCGATCCTAAATCGAGTTTTGTTTTACTGATTGGCGAAAGTCTGAGTCAGATTCATTCATGCCGATGTCCGAATTCAATCGTGCCCGAGTCCCCAGCGTCATAATTTCAAACGCGGTTCCGAGTCCGGTCCGCATCGCAAGGCCGTGCCTGGCCAGACCGTCCAGCCTGCGCGTTATTCCTCGCTCCTCCGCCGCCTGGGCCCGGTTTTTCTGAGAATATCTGAACTGCTGCGATGGTCCGCGCAAACACGGTGCCTGTTCTTGTGGTGTGACGTCAGGAAGTACGACATCGTCCGCCGTGCGCCAGGGCCCCCAGTCAGCTGACGCCTGGCGCTGTGACGTCATCGAGGAGGGCATTTAACCACGGAACGGCACCACCGGGGCACATTCGTCCCGCAGCTGGGAAAGGAGGCGTACCTACGCAACCGTTACGCAAGCTTTGCCAGACCGAGGTAAGTCTTTGTCCGTGTGGTGATGGACTTTAAGACATGGCTCACGCGGTTACCCGGCTTGATGGGAGCGATTTTTGCCAAAGGCACTGAAGTGATGATGCTCCCCACGTCAGCTTGCGACAGAATATTGGCTTACAACTTTTACTTCCCAGCGCCGCCGCACTAGGTAATCTGCCAGGATCACCCATCGCTCAAGGAGTTGGATGTGTCGACGCTGCAATACATGTTTTTTAGACGTTAAGTGTTAAGGGTCGCCACTGACTATCTGGCTCTTTGGACGGGATGGCATGACGCTCCATAAAGCGGTGTTAAATGCCCGCATTAAACGGGGCCACCTAAACTTGCATTGATCCTTGAGCAGCCGAAGCTCATCTCAGCAGCTGAGGCTTTCAAGGTAAAATTACGCAAACGCACGGCGGTGGTCTGAAACGCGCGGATGGTAAGCACTGGCATTCGACTAAGAACATTAAACTAAATTCACGCCGTGCGTGAGTCATCTGTTTACGCGCGCTGGATCAGTTTGCCATTTCGTGTCAGCCGCCGTGACAGGTGTTTGCGCTCTTTGACCAGTTCTCCCGCTGTGATACCGCGCTGCTGGCATGCCCTGAACTCCGAACCCAACACCACACCTGCGGCTGCCGCTGCGTCGTGATCACGCCGCACGCAATCGCGACGGTGTAATTCCAGCCGAGCTATCACGCGTAAACCAAAACACGTTGCGCGGACGACGCCCGTGCGTGACGCGTCCCATTGACGTGGTAGACGAGAGCGGGCGTGCTCAAGGTCTCGTGTGGTAATCGGGTTCCGGAAGGGTTTGCGATTGAGTGAATGCGTCCTGATAAGCTATTTCCTCTCCAGTTCTATTTCGACCTTGATATGTGACGAGCTGTTTGGAACAATTGTACTGCGTCCTGGCGATTCCTTCCGCCATGTCATGCATTTCAAACGGGGTCAATACCCGGAAGCTTGAGCATAGATCGTCCTTTCCAAGCCGCTGCCGTCAGTGCCGACGGGATCAGGCTCGCCAAGGGGTGCCCCTGACCTGATCGTATCTCCTCTCCCGCACAGAAGGGTTCCGACAGGCACACAAGGTCTGGGTTTCCCTCCTGTCCAGTTTGTAGTGCTCCTGCCGTGTGTCCCGTAGATTCACGGCATGGCCTCCCGGTGTTTTTCCACTGCAGTCATGGCGCAGGGGACGCGCATTACCGGAAGAGAATCCCATGGTTCAGGTCTGGGGTTGGGGTATGTGGCATAGCAGATCTGGCAATTGCCACACCACCTTTCGTTCCTTTTGCCATTATTTTGACATTTTGGTATCTGACAATGACATTTGTTGACGTTTGTATGGTTGCTCATGCCGGTAGCTTTGTGGTATCATTTACTCTCACTATTCCTTACTGATATTCCAAATCTACTCACGGTGTTTCCTGTCATGAGTATGTATAAAATTGCAAGAGGCACATGACCCCGTTTACGTCGTGATATATGTATTACACATAGGACACCGATTAACAACATGCAACGCTGTTAGCATCATGCAATACAATGCATGATACAATGCGCTACACTGAGATCTTTTACTGAAATTCCGAGAGCTGTGCCCATTTCCCCTTATTGCGTTTTCTTGCATACGCCCGTGCACTAATGAAATTCCTTAGAAAGGCCGTTGTTGGTGTTTGTTCCGCTGGTTTCATGCTGGCTGTGTCATCACTAGTCGCCCCTCGAGCCCTCTTGCTGGCCGCGTCCTTGTGTCCTCGAATTCGGCACGCGAGACGTGTTCATCCCTTTTGCTCTCTTGTCAATATTTCATGTTCCAAATGGTGTTGATGATACCCGGTGAGAAATATATTACTTTTCGTGACACGTTTTGACGACATGCATGTTTCGTATTGCTAAATGTGTTTTCTGTCAAATTCTGGGCCAGCTGACCTGTAATATGTGAGCCTCGTCCCCTGACACCACTCGTTTGCGACGGAAATGTGGACTATTTTCGCTTGTCTCTCACCCGCGAGCCGCTGCAATTTGGGCGCCGAGAAGTAAGTAGCTGTTTGTCGTCCATGTGTAATTTCGCTAGGCACAATGACTGTGGAGAGTTAGTTGTGCTTCAGTTTCAAAATTCGATCTCAGGCGTCCCATGTAGGTACATTCCCGTCTTTCCCCGCCTCTTGAAACGCTTTAAGATAAGTGTGACATCACATATAGGCAACTTCAGTTTGTCGTATTTTTACGCCTTACACCGTATGACGAAAAGCATATATTGATAGCCTCTCCATAAGAAGTTACAACAAGCTGCAGAACGCACGTTAGATACGTAAGATTCTTGCAAAAGGATACGCTGGTCTAGAAGCTGTGTGCAGGGGCGTAGCACCCGCGAATTTGGATTTTATCAGCATGGGGCAGCACCAACTCCTAACGCATACACTTCTTACATGCATGCTATATTCGCATGCGTATATCGGCGTCGGTCATACAGTCTATTACACCTGCATTGTTACGCCTGCACCCCTACTTTAAACTACAGGCCCATTGTATCTTGCAGGTCCCATGTTATGAGCATGGTTGTAGTTCGCTCAAAATTCCGGGTTACATTCTAACGTGGCATTCATGACACACTTATTCCAGCATTACGAAAGTTCTTCTGTTCAAAATATTTGTGTAAGAGCTGCCTTGCAGCCGGGCATGCGCCATTCCGACGTGTGGGTACATGTTTGTATAACACACACTGCGCGGCAGCCGCATGTGAGGCCATCGGCCAAAGTTTGGGTTGCATTTCTACTTCAGAATAAAGTCCAAATGTGAATCCCTCGCTTGATTACGCCATATGCACGTTTGTTTGGTGGCGCCGTTCAACAGGCACCTCATGGTGAACTGAAGGCCGATTATTGTCAACACAAGAACACATAACCACGATGCCGAACAACCAGAAGCTCAAGGCGTTTCCTGGTTTGCGTCGGGCAGAGGCCAGCCTGCATGCGGCGCTACCAACGCCCGCCGAATGTGGACAGCTTTTTTAGTTTGAGTGATCTTTTTGGCGTCGGCACGATCATCACGTATGTAAAAAGGAGCGGTTGGCAATTTGGAGAGATGGTGATTATCTCGATTTTATGTGGTTTCGGATAGCCTCGGCCGTCCGCTATGAATTGTTACCTATCATCAAGGTTCTGCATGGCGACGCACGGACATCGAAAAGCTTGCTTCCGGCGCCTGTTTGGGAGCACTCGGGCGGGGGAGGGGAGGGGCAACCGATGGCGCCGCTCCCGCACGAACGCGGCCGCGGTAACCCGACCGAGCCCGGCCCGACTCGAGATGCCATTACGAAGCCAACTCCTCCCATCGAATTAGCATGCAGCTGGCAACCCGCGGACTGCATGGTCACACCAACATCATGATGACGGAGCGGACCACGCATGCGCTGGTACCAGCTGTCCCGCCGGTTGCCAGGCGGGCCGCGAACACCGCCGCACCTTCACAGCCTGGCAACTCACCCCGGCAACGGCTCAGAGCCGGCTCGTAAATCGCGCCCTCTCACGCAGCCGCTATCCGGCTGTTGCGAGCGAGCTGGACTCGGGTCTGCCCCGGGCGAGGCAGTGACCGGACCACGTGACCGGCAGCACGCGAGCAGCGCGTGATCGGAGCGTTCCCGGCGGCCCGTCCATTGATTGGTCTGAGCGCCGGCGGCCTGTTGCAGGCGCGGCCGGGACTGCGTGCTGGCTAACGGGGTTGGCAAACGGGCCGTGGCGAGGTCAGGGGCCGGCCAGCGGAGCGAGAGAGTCGCTAAGGAATCTAAGCGAGCGAGAGTCCAAGTGCGTCTACCGCGCGTGGCAACAACGGCGACCGCTCTCGACCGGCGGAGGGTGGGTGTCGCCCGTTGACCTCGCTGTCCCCCGTCTCACTGACGCTGTGACAGCAGCCTGATGTAGGTCTCCATTTGCAGAGCGGCTTTACGGCCGCCCCTCGGAGCGCGGCCCGACCTTGGAAGCCTCCTCGCCATTCCGGCGTGTGCGTCGTGTAAGCAGAGGCTGCGTGCTTGTTTTTCCCGCGTGAAATACGACGCGGCGCATGCGTCGGCGCTTTTGCGTGCCGTGTAGTAGGAGGGGTGCTGGGGCGGCCCTGAAGGTCAAGCTGCGAGCTGTTTGTGGCGCGGGGCGGTTCGGCGCTTCCTGGGTTCACGGGTGGTTATCGTGTGGCGCACTGGCGGGGCACCTCGACACACACACATCTTCCCGCCACTAGCATCTCGGAGTTCAGTGAGTCTGCGTCTGAAATTGGATGCACTAGAATGCAATCAGTATAGTTTCCTTTAAGCCTCATGCCCGTTCTGTGAAACCGCCGGACAGATTCCTAATCACGTTAAATGTTTAAATCAAGTTATGCTGTACCCATATTTCAGAATCATTACCGCATGTATATGGCATGGTATCTTGTGGTCCTCTCGTGCGTACGCTTAAGCTGTCACGGTTTCATTTGTGTAACTGATTCCAAATCTAAAAGAAAACACCAGCGTTGCCTTTACTGTGCTTCGCATTGATGTTGCGCAGATACAGCCGCTGCGTTCTGTGGGCCGGGCCGCTCGACGCTCGCGGTCCGTCCGCAGGCTTGGACGGCGTAACGCTGCTGGAACACGGCCGATAACGCCGGGGCAGGCCCTCCTGTCCTGGGGCGCTATTGCCTTGACCAATCACAGAATATTCTCGGTTTTGACAAGTTTCGATCGCGATTATCTCGCTTGTTCCTCACGTTCACTTGCTAAAACATCGTCGCTTTGGCCGCGCGGGCCGCATGGCATTCTTCCGTCAGATTTTATACGCGATAGCAAAAGCACTCTTCCTAGTGCAAGGTAACGCTTGCCATAGGTTCTGAGCCTATCGTTCCTCTCTTCAAGAATGCTAGATTTGTCTACGTACGGTGTTGTGTACCCCTACCAAGGTGTGCAAATGACAACGATTATCATTAAGTAGCGATAATTTCGCGCGAGATGTAATGCTTTAGTTAGTTCGAAGGAGGGAATTAAGCCTGGATTTTGTGTAATTTAGTCATTTTACCGGACTGACCCCCCAAATTATGTTGCTGAACTACACCCCGGCTTTGCGCCAGCATGTAAGGTGTCTTCGATGCCGAACGTTACCGCGGGTAACTTGGGAGGGTCTAGATTTGGTTGGTAAAGTCCAAAAAATGCGTGACGTGATTAATGGATGGTCCCAAACAGTTCCCCTCAGTCGGGTCCACATGATGTGACAACTGTGCTGTAATAAAGGTTTAGCCGGTGAGTTATTAATACCCTATTGAGGACTGGCTGCTGACGGTAAGACAGATTTGAATTATAGTCCACAGTGGTTACCTTCTTAGCATTGAATTTGAATTCGAATCCCAAGTTTCAGGCTAGCCGAGACCGTTTACCGTAATTCGAACGCCGCTTTGTCCCAGAACATCACCCGGCCCGATGCTGCCAGCGTCAGCTGGTCCGTCGCCAGGCTTCGACGCGCAGCCAGTCGCCTCACTTTTCAAGGAGGCCAGCAACAAATCTCCGGAGATGGAACAGACGTATGAGCAACTGGGCCGGCCCGTCCATTGCAGCGCGTTTTACGGCCTGCCTGCGGTGCAGCGTGACGTCAATGCGCTGTTGCGAGGCGCCCCGTCGGCTTAGCCGCCGGCCTGATTGCGACGCGCCACGCTGAGCGCATTAGCTGCACGAGAGCGACCGGGTCGGCCGATCGGCACGGCGTTCGGAGCAGCAGCCGCCGCAGCGGTGATCGTTGGGCCGTCGTAGGCGGCGCAGGGGTATTGCGATGATCAGGCCGGGCCCATCTGACCTGGGCTGGGAGCGGCCCCTGGTACTCGACGCCGAGTATGGGGACTGGCCACGCCGCCTGCAAGCCAGCCAGGCGCAATCAACGTGCGGCATCTCATCCACTGGCCTCCGTGTGTTTCCAACGTGGCTTGACGCGGATGCTAGAAATGTCGGCACCGAGAAGTTGCAGCTCGCGTCGTTTCTCAAAGGTCACTCTCGCGTCATTAAATGTCATTGCTTTTCATACGCGAAATCTCGCTTATAAGCCGCTGCCAATGCCAAGTGCCTTAGCTATCTATTCATTCTAGCGGAGGGCTGTCACGCATTTATGGTCGTTATTTGTATCCCAAATCTTCTTGGCTCAGCCCAGCATCCTGCCGCATAAAGATCAGGCATGCACCGACCCTATCCAGATGGCCAGCCTGTGTAACACATACCTCCGTGTGAAGTCCTCACATCCTGCTGAAGGTGCACCACCGAACGACTCGGCATTTGATGCAACCCAACCTGACGCGGTTTGACGTGCGCCATGGTAAAATTGAGGTGCTGTTTTTATTATCTCTGTCCATAAGACAGGTGTTGAAGGGCTTAGACAATCACACAAGTTTTCCACACGTCCAGACAACCACATTACCAGACAGCCGCTGTTCACCCTCAAAATTCCTCTGCAGTCCATATGTTACGGCATTCATCCTGCGATCATAGCATGTTGTGGTCACTAACACACTCACTGGCTTCTACGCTGCACCTAAATACGTGACCTGGCCGCTATTTTCGACACATTGTTCACCTTGCCGCCTCATCGCAACTGTTACCAGAGCGAGCCGTACGTCGGATTTTTTTATCAGAAGTATGCGGGTGTGCCGATCCCACAGCGATGGTGGCTGGGACCACAAATCCATAGCACGCGCCTTAAACATCCATGCTCGATCAACGCTGGAGGACGGTTGTTTGAGGAGGAGGTTGGAGGACGGTTGACGGTTGGTTGGCGGACGGACCCATTATCCTGGAATGGATCGCTACACTTTCCTGGCTCATGTCAAAAGAAGCTCGATCAAAGTGAGGTTCGCTCATTGGACAGAACCTTTGACATAGCGCCTTCCGCGAAAGACCAGATGCTTTCCCACCTTGCTCGGCGTGTCTGGCCTTGGTCACGCTGCGTCCCCCTGCACCGCGTCCGATTCCCGAGTGAACACGGCACAGCACGATTTGTTTATGCATGTTGCTCAACTGTATGCTGTTTTTTCGTCGCGCAGTTGACTAAACAGCGGCTCAGTGTTCTGGCGCGCGAGGCGTCCGGAGCTTTTCTCATGAACTTCTAGCATTTCGGCAATATTGTATATTGCATCACCCGCGTATACCTGCTTTATATGTTGTGAAGCTTAGGTGGGCCGACATCGTGCTGGAGTCCGCTGCCGGGGCGGGGCGTTAGCGTCAGTGAGGCGTCTGTGACCCGTGACGAGCGCCTCAGGCTGACGCGCTGACGCTACCTTCTGACGTGGACCATGTGTCTGTTGCAGAATTCCTGCAGACAAGATGTCGCTCGCCACCAACAAAGCCGTGCTGGATAGGTAAGAATGCAGTCGACATCGGTCGCTGCTTGACAGTCTGCTGCTGATTCTGAATGCGGTTGAAATGCCTCTTCCAAGCCAGGAGCTTGCCGTTTCCCTCATGTGTGTGTGTGTTTTTTTTTTTACCCATTAGCCTATGTGCCTAGGCAACCTGTGTGGCCCTTTTCAAACCTGACTCTCGTCATACCGTTTCATTGGTGCCCTGAACACTTGAATGAAGAATTTAAATTTGATACGCATTACAAAGTATTTGGTAGTTACCCATCAGCCTCATCAGAATCTCCCCCCTCCCCTTCCGCAGGTACCTGCGACTGCCGATCCAGGATAACACCACCCAGTGCATGTACGTATGGGTGGACGGCACTGGTGAGCACCTGCGAGCCAAGACCAAGACCGTCGGGTTTATTCCCAAGAGTCCTTCAGGTAAGCAGAAGTGGTCCGACGACCGAACGCGCCGGGCATCTCGTCCTTCAGCCACATTCTTTGACATTAGTTAAAAAAACATGTTATTAGTGGAACGAGGAAATGCGTTCGCAGGATGATTCGAAGAAGGCTCAGCCGCCTTTTGATAAGGCTGGTGCGCACCCGGGACGCCTGCGCCGTTTCGTTGAGCGTTGTCAGGCTCGCGTTTCGGCGGGCCTGGGCGCCGACCCGTCCGTGCCATGACTGCCGTCGGGCGCCCGCCTTCGTCCGGGCGCCAGCTGACCACCCAGCGCCTCGGGGCGCTCGCCGCCTGGCGCTATACTGCGCCGCAGCCTCATGCGCTCGGGAGTGGCTGGATGGCAGCCACCGCGGGCGTGTCGCACTTCCGAGCCCGTCCTGGGCGGTGTGGGGTCAAGAGGGGTCAGTCAGTGATGCGTAACATGACATCTGAGCTTTTTAGCGAGGTCAGAGGCCTGTCAAACGATGGACGCCACGCATGGCCAGTATCCCCGTCCCTTCCTGGTGCACCAGCATTGTGACCCATTCAGTAACGGACCTTGCCTGCGCCCCTGACGCACTCTGGACGGATTTGCAACGGTGGCCTGGAATTGAGCAGATTTTGATAGATCCTCTTCTGGATCATCCTCATTCCATACCACACATCGTTACCAGCCGCCGTGTTTTCATCACAAGCCCAGAGGAGCCAGATGTGCGGGCAGATCCTAGCAAACCATGCCGGCGACAATGAACTGTCACTGACACCGCTCCTCCGGCCCGCAGAACTGCCGATCTGGAACTTCGACGGCTCGTCGACGGGCCAGGCTGAGGGCAGCAACTCTGACGTGTACCTGTACCCGGTGGCGCTGTACCAGGACCCGTTCCGGCTCGGCGCCAACAAGCTGGTGCTCTGCGAGACGTACAAACACAACCGGAAGCCGGCAGGTGGGTGCTGGCGAGACCGTGGCTTCCGGTGGTTAGTTTCACGCGTGTAGCTGTGACCGCGGGGATTCGCCGGACTGGGCGGACTCGGCCCCATGAAATGACGGCTGAAATTATACTCATACCTGGGACACCCGCCATCGTCAAAACAAAACGGGACAGGGTTGCAATAAGCCGACTTGTCTAGTGTATGTGAGGGCTCCCAGTAATGCAGTCCTTTCAACCGGAAGGCTCCCCGGAAGGCGGTTGGCTTCTTTGCTCATTCACACCGTAACGTGTACAGCAGCGTGCACTGGACCTCTATTAACTCAGAAAAAAGCAACAATATAAATAGCGCACGAGATCGCTGACAATAAAATGATCATCGACACCTCGAATGGCTTCCTTCCTTGAACTCCCTCAATCACGGAACCAGCCGATTGTCCCGGTCTTCAGGGCCACAGCTATCTCTAGTGACCCTGAGACACCCCTTCCGAGTGAGGAAGGAGCCGATAATCTGGCCAGTGTATAACAGCGCCGCCCGAGGGCTCGGCTCAGCATCCCCTCGGGCCAGCGTCGCCGGCTCGGATGGCAGCCAATCGCGGCGACCTTGTGCGTGCCGCTCCGTCACGGCCGCGTGTAACGGCCCTGCTGGGCGCCGGGATGAGCGGGGCGCACGGCCGACAGTCTCTGACCTTCGGGGCGGCGGCCTGGCGGGAGCGGTCGCGCCGCGGACGGCCGGCCGGTCGCCACTCCCCCCCCCCCTCCCGCCGTCCGCCGCCCACCTACCGGCCGCCGGACTCGCAGGGGCACGGCGCGTGGGAGCACTTGTTTTGTTTGCGTGCGGCTGGCCTTGGGCGCCACGCACTGATTGCGGGGATGCCCGGGTGGACGGGGATGACTGTGCCGTGTCCCGCGCGCCTCCGGACGCGACGGCACGCGTGCTGGCCGGCGGCCGTGCCTGGGCGCCTCTGCCTCGTATGCACGAAGGTGCACGAGGCAGGGGGCTGGCCGAGCGCAGGAACTGATGTCAACTGTCGTCATGACGGCGACACCGTGCAGAACTTCACCGCAGATGCCTTATTGCTCAATTCCCGTCGGGCTTATTACGCAATTGCCTTGCGCTGTTTCGTGTCATTGCGGGTTGAAGCAATGTTTAGCATATTGAAGGCGGTGATGCTCCATTGATAATCAATGTTTGAAAGGTTTATGAAATAAGATATTCAGATCACGCGTTTCTCAGAGCAAACCCTAGAAGGTTCTCCAAAATCGTGGCGTAAAACGTGCGAAAGAGCACTGCAGCTCGTTATCAATTAGACGTTGACTGTACTTCCCTTGTTGGGCGATTGCCACCTCAGACCCATCATCATGAGGCTCACTCAATTACCCAATGTTCCAATTTTTGCTTGGCCCTCCGAACCGAAGCATCTGCCACCGCGCGCTAAGCATTCTTTTCCCACATACCCGAAAGTGGCTGCTGTTTCCTGAGCTGTCCACGTGCGCTGCCTCAGACACCAACTTCCGCCACACGTGCAAGGAGGTGATGGATCAGGCGACCAGCCAGCACCCGTGGTTCGGCATGGAGCAGGAGTACACGCTGCTCGACAGTGACCAGCACCCGTTCGGCTGGCCCAAGAACGGCTTCCCGGGACCGCAGGGGCCTTACTACTGCGGCGTCGGCGCCTCCAAGGTGTACGGCCGGGACGTGGTGGAGAGCCACTACCGCGCCTGCCTCTACTCGGGCGTCATGATCGCCGGCACCAACGCCGAGGTCATGCCCTCCCAGTGGGAGTTCCAGGTGAGGCACACCGCCGTCAGCTCCCTAGTAGGAGTTTCATGCGAGACACACTACCGTCAGCTCTTCTAGTGGGAGTTTCGGATGAGAAAGCGTGTCCCTGCCGCCCTCTGGGAGTTCCGGGTGAGAGGTGACGCCCGCAGCTGGCCACCAGGTGAGGGTCCCGTTCCGGCTGATCTTGCGTCGAGACCCACCAAGGTCGGTCTTCGTCTGACCGGGCGTTATCCGACCGGTCCCGTGCAGAGCGCACATGACCGGAGCACGTTTGTGTAAACCGCATGCCGGCCTAGGACTTGCGCAAGTGATCCTGGTATTAAATTGCATTGCTTCACTTGTCCTTGAAGACTGGAGAGTACTGGAGGACTGGAAGTACCGTACAGATGCGTGGAACTGAACGGCGCCTGTGAGCAGCGTCTAAAGCTCCGACAGTTTGCCCGTCTGCGCCCGTGTTTCGCGTCTTCGGCCCGCCTCCGCGGCTGCGCCTGAACCTCCACCTGCCGCAGGTGGGCCCGGCCGAGGGCATCCGGATGGGCGACGATCTGTGGATGGGACGTTTCCTGCTGCACCGCGTGGCTGAGGACTTCGGCATCAGCGTCTCGCTCGATCCCAAGCCCATTCCAGGAGACTGGAACGGCGCCGGCTGCCACACCAACTTCAGCACGCTCGCCATGCGCGAGAAGGGCGGCATCACGTAAGTCGGCGGTCCGGGGGGAGACGCCGGCGCGGAGGGAGCGGCGGCACCCCGGCACCCCCGGCCTGCGTGGTGCAACACCCGTCCACTAGTTATGACCACCCCCCCCCCCCCTTCCCTCTTGTTGTTGCCTGGAGGTGAGGGCATTGAGCTCGGACCGTGACGGGGCTCGGTGTGGTGACGTCAGAGCTGGTCCGGGTCCGGGTGTCCGGCTGTGGGAGAGCGGTTAGTGACCAGCTCTCTGTTCGGTAATCACTATGGCGGAGGGAGCGCGACGTAGCCAGCGTTCATTATCTCGGACCTATAAGAGGGCTATCGGCGTCACGACGCCAGCCGTACTCTTTGTGTGTGGCAACGCTAGGCAAACAGACCGAGCCGAAGTCATAAGGATGTCACGTAACGACGGGGCGATAGAACAACAGCCCGGCCGCGCGGCGTGTAAGCACGCTGGCTCGAACTGACTTGTTCAGCGGCATTATGAGATAAGCCCGGACACTTGTGGGGAGCGGCTCGGAGCCCATGTCTCGCCGCTGGCCGGCGCATGAGGGCTGTTCGGCTGAGGAGCACGAACTCTGTTCGGCTGAGGAGCACGAGCTTATGACTCGTGACATCTTTCTGTTTGATGCACCACTATTCGCAGTGGTGTTTGTCGCAGGATGGTGCGTGGTGGTGCGAGCTGTTAGTCGTGGTAGAATTCCTGCCGAAATTGGCTTTCAGGATTATCGCGTCAAACTCCCTTCGATAGCAAATTAATTCAATGTCATTTAGCGAGACTTTTCATGCACACACATTTGGACATTACTTAAGCTGTAAAAAGCCAGCGTCCGCTGAGCCCTCGTCGTTTAGCTCACCTCGGCCATACGCGGGTGGCAATGTCCGTGCGTTTTTTTTTTGTTGTTGTTGAAAAAAGTTTTTTTTTCAAATGGAAAACGAACCCCAGACGACGTGAACTGCAAACGTGTCGTGCTCGGTACCCCCTCCAACGATTGTCATTGAGTAACCTTTGAGCACGTCGATAAAACTTCGCTGACTCCAGCATTTTCACCAGGGTGACGTGCCCGCGCGTCTCATCTCTGTCGCTCACAGCACCACGTCTCTGCTTCAGCCACATTGAGAAGGCGATCGACCTGCTGAGCAAGAACCACAAGATGCACATCAAGATGTACGATCCCAATGAGGGGCGTGACAACGAGCGGCGGCTGACCGGGCGGCACGAGACGTCCAGCATCCACGACTTCTCCGCCGGTGAGCGAGCGCCGAACACTGGCCCTTGCCGGGGCTGCTGTTGCCTTGGGAACGTGACGGGGGGAGAGAGGGATGGAAAACGCTGAATACTGGCCCTTGGTAGGTATCCTTAGCTGCCCTGGGACGTGAGCTAAGGGTGGGAGAGGGGCGGAAAGCGCTGAACGCTGCACCTTGCCGGGTTTCCTGCCGCCCTGGGACGTCAGGGAGGGGAGGGGGGGGGGGGGGGGGAGGGGAGGACAGCGCTGACCACTGGAACTCACTGGGTTCCCTGCTGCCCCATGGACGCGTGGCCCTGTGGGGTGGGGGCAGAAGAAAGTCATCGAGCTAGTTCGGGTACGACTTAGGCGAAAGATGGGACATGCACTTAGTGCATTGGGTTTTGATGGAGTATTTAGGATGCCGTGCATTGCTTCGACGCATGTCGACGTCGGAAAACCTCGTCATGCGTGACGCCGCTGGTGCTGAATGTAACAAGTGGCGGCTCACATTCCGGGAGAACACAGGCGATAATTTGTTTCTTCTTCACGCTGTGCCTCTTTGATATTGATTCATGTTCGTTTCTGCAGAGGAGAGGAAATCATGCACCAACCACCTTTCATGAACTTAAGCGGTGTTCTTATGCCGGGGAAGAAGTAACCGAAAGGAGTTTTGACCTACTAACCTCATGAGACAATCATGGCCCGCCTCGGTTCGGCTGATATCTGAGCGATAGCATCTGGGATTTCACAAGTAAACATGCTTGTTTAATCTGCACTCTATGTGTGAGGGTCGTACCTCTTGAAACTTCCCATCTTATCTGAGATATCCTATCGTCTCGTCTTTCGAAAATGGGACACGTGTACGGCCGTGGCGTGGGCATGCCACCAGATGTGGTCCCTGCTGCCCGGGAGGGATCGATCTGTGACTCACTACACCATCCTGCGAACCACATCACCCTGCTGCTGACTGGCGTCACGTTAAGGCTTTGTCCCCCCCCCCTCGCTGCAGGTTAGACAGGTGCATGGAAGACTCTCAGATACCGTACAATCTGGGGCGAAACACGCTATTGAGCAGCGTTGACTACTGCAGTTTTGTCTTCATGTAGATGCTGTTCAGTCGTTCCCATTTCAATGTCAGCTAGTCGGCGCGGATAACGGAGCATCACGTTATCACGCCTGTTCTATCTCTTCTCCACACCCAAAAAACCAGGCTCCAGACTGCGCGACAGTGCCGCCGGGTGACGGCTGGGCGGTCTCCAGAGCACACTGAGGCGTCACGCGTGGCATGACGGAGCTCCGACAAGGGGCGGCAGGCGCCGCGGCGAGGGCGCCGACGTCTGCTTCGCCCGCTAGCTGACAGTGCGTGGCGCAGGCCCGGTCCGGAGGCCTGATTCCGCCCTGGTCCGACCCGGACCCTGGCCTGGCCCGACCCGGACCCCGGGCGTTGCGCTCTCTACACGGACGCCTCAGGCGGGCGGGGCTGTTCCGCAGGTCATGGGTAGGGAGGGCAGCGAGCGGTGAGCCCGGTAAGCCGGCCGGGAGCACGCGGCCGGCGGCCGAGCGACGGGCCACAGCCAGGCGCCACGTGCACAGCTGAAGCCCCACGGGCGGGGCGGTGTTGAACAGGCCGCGTCCTTCGGCGGCCCGTTAGTCGCGCCGCGTCTGGATCGTCTCGGTCGGAGGGCAGCGCGCGCCTGACGTGTCACGACTCTGGACGGACGCTGCTGGTCCGAGTGCAGAGTCCACAGCGGCGGGCGGCCGGAGCCGGACAGAGCAGACCGGGCAACAGCCGGCGGGCGGCCAGAGCCGGACAGAGCAGACCGAGCAACAGCCGGCGGGCTCAGCGGCGGAGCAGCTGGGAACGGACCCGGGGATCGCGCGGTGGAGAGCCGGTGGGGCTAACAGAGCAGCTGGGAAGGGTCGAGGGCTCGCGGACGGCGTCGAGGATTCTTTCGTCGCCCCTCCCTGGAGGTCATCCCCAGCGATTGCCAAGTATTGACTAGAGCCAGCTCTCGATAATGCTCTCCCTGCACTATCATAACGCCACCGTTGCTGTGGTCCAGCGCCCTCACGGTTGCCAGCTCAGTACATCTACGGGCCATCTCCGATTGCACCTTGCTCCTATCCCGCGTCACCTGGGTGGGGGATCGCCGCCCGTATCTCTAACCGAATGGAAACGGTCCTTCTGGTCCCGAGCTAATGACCGGACGACGCTTGACAGTGGCTAGACCAGACCAGACCAGACCAGACCGTGATAAGACTTTTCCCCGGGGTGCACGGCTCAACTGAGTGTGACCTTGTGTGACCTTGTGTTCCAGGCGTGGCGAACCGCGGCGCCAGCATCCGTATCCCGCGCCAGGTAGCTGAGGAGGGCGAGGGCTATCTGGAGGACCGGCGACCCAGCTCCAACTGCGACCCGTACCGGGTCACAGAGGCCATCGTGCGCACCATCTGCCTGTAGCGGTGCGCCGCCGCGCCCCGTCCCGCTCAGTTCCGTTCCGTTCATGTGCGCGCGCCGCGGTCATTCGGCTGGCGCGCGAGCCTGACCGCCTCGTCTCGGTGCGAAAGCCTCGGCTTAATTTTAAAAGCATTCCAGCAGGACTGTTGTTCATGGATATCATTTTAAATGCCTCAATCTGTGGCGTGAAATAATGAGGGCTTATTGTGTGGGTCCAAACGAGAAGCGTATCAACTATGTGCGAGAGTGTTTGTACAATTTGTATCGTCTCGTGCCGACGTGCGGAGGAGTACGGTATTTCGGTGACTTGTTTTCTTCCTCCTCTTTTTTAAATGGTGCCGTTTTATCCGGCCGCCGTTTTATCGGGCGTGTCTGATCAGCTGTTTTGGCTGTCGGGTGCACATTCTCGATGTTTAATGGACCCTGTATCAGGATCGCTTCCCCCGGCGATGCAGATTGTAGTTTTATGGGCGAAAACAGCTCGCAAAACATGCAATTGGTTTCAATGTTAATACACATCAAGGCATAAAGCCTTGTTTTTAGAACTGGCTCAATTGAAATGAAATGTCTTGGCGCGAACGTGCACCAGCGTACTGTAATACAGTCATGCCAGCCAGCGTTCTGATGTCATTTATCACATCAAACATAACAGCCACATGGGAGGGCACTGAGCGATGGGAAGGATGGTCAGTTATTGATCCAATCTCGCAGACGCAGCTAAGGAGACCCACCCTTAAAGGAGTCGGGAGAAATCGAGGGAAATCTCAGAGCGGTAGAGACGGGAACGGGAGAACTCTCACTTGACTTCCTGCTCGACGCCATGAAAGTAATACACATAATTTGCCTTGGTTTTTCGACGTGAGTGTTTTCAGATGTTCGCAAACATCAATTTGTCAAGATGTTTCTATAAGAAGCAAATGCTACAAAAGCTCGAAACACTAGACACAAAAGACATTGGAAACATGAAGCTTTAATCCCGCGAATTCAACGAAACGTTAGTTAATGGCTTTGATGCTCCCCTATGGCATTTACCATCGTGGCTTTTCGAGGCGCACTTTGGCTTTGGGAATGGGAGTATCACATGATATGTGGCTGAATGGTTCAAACTTCAACCAAGTTCTCAGTGACAGGCCCTTGCCCGCTCGGCCAATCACGCACGCTCTTTCATTCGCACCAGTAGAGGTGCACCAGATGGGGGCGCCGGTAGCATAGAGATTAACGTGTCCGCGCTAACCACTGCGCGTGTGGGAAACCTGAGGTACGGAGTTAGATTCCTCGCGGTGCCCGCGCTTCCTGCCAGGGTGAGAGGAAAGCGCCGCCGAATGGCCTCAGCAACTCAAAGTGCCACAAAGTCCCGATAACGCAGACGTGCGCGCGGTAGTTGTAATGACGACATTGGTCACGCCTATAAGGATGAAGCGTAGTACTGTTACACTCTGTTGCCAGAGTAATTTGGACTCGACAGAACTTAAAATACACATACTATGTGTTGGCCATGGTGCGGTGACGCTACCCAGCGCTAGTATTAGACGTAATTAATCCTGAGGTTTCATTAGGGTATGCTTTTATAAATATGCCCCGATTGTAGGAACCTCCTTTTAAGAATATTCTAGCTGCTTTCGTATTCACCCTGCTTTAGCGCTGATTGTGCTTATAGCCAGCACCAATCCAACAATATTCATAACATCCGTCAGATCAGAGAATGCCGCTCCTTCATGACTGTGCACTTTGACTAGCGGCGACGTTTCCGCCCGTCACTGTTTTGCGCAGGAACGACGCAGGATTAAGATGGTGGGATCACGCCATCCTTGCGTGGCTGCCACTTTCCCCGCAGTGCTCTGACACAATACCAGATGGGTCCGTGAGCCAATGCTATTTATGATTGTCAGCTGTCCTTACATCGCGACCTAGTCGCACAGGACCTTCCAAACTGAAACCTCCAATTTTGGACCCATACATTTGTCGCGAATATAACTACAGCTGAGCATCTTTTGCAGGCTCAAGTCGAATGTTTAGACTTGGCCACAGCTCGTGCGTCTGTCGCTGGGCTCTGGTCGCCGATCTGGGGCGAACGTGCCCAGCTCGTTGCCCTGTTCTCCGCTCGTGCAGTCGGCCGTGCCAGAGCCGCCTGGTAGCAGTCTGTGGCCCCAGGTGACCTCAGAACCGGGGAAGTCGACCGGCGGCACTGATGGCACACAGCCAGCTGAGCTGACCAGCTGACGGACCGGGTGCCGTCAGCGGGCTCATGACCCTCGGCGAACGACAGGCCCCTCAGAACCCTCAGAGCTAGCTGTTGGGTTGGGGTCAAAGTAACAACGCTACCAAAAACGATGACTCGTTATTACCCGATCACTTTGATCAGCAATTTTTTTACAACCTTGCTTTCCTGACAAATTAGTTTCCCTTTTGTTTCTGCTCTGCACGCAATTTTAGATGTATAGATTCCAGCACCCTAAAGAGGTTTCGCAGGTACCGATACTGGCATTGGCTTTCGACTGATTCAGCACGAGCCAACACTTCCTGGCGCCCACTGCACGCCGTGGCATCACTGCCGGTGCCGATCCATCACCGGCGGTAAGGCATGCGGTACCGAGAAATCCTGCATTCGTAATTATCATCACTGCTGGCGAGAGCAGCTCGGCCCTGGTACCGTCAGTCACTGGTCCTGGTCTGTCTCGGAAGGGGGTCACCAGAACCAGCACCAGGGGCATGACCAGCAGGCGGTCGGAAGACGCGGCAGAAGCAGGAAAACAGGTTTTGAATCCTTGGTGTGGATACATCATGGATGGATGGCTGCCTGATCAGCAGCAGATCTCTGCCCTTATGCAGGGAATCCATATAGCAGGTCGCTGCCCTTGTGCAGGGAACACAGAGAAGCCGATGTTGCGCCGTGAGTGCCGCTGAGACCCGCCAGACTGCGATGCCGTCCTCCCCGTCCCGAGCAGCGCCCGGCGCAGCCGCCGCATGACGTGTGTACGGAGCCGGGGCGGCCGCGGCCGGGACCGGCGCCGCGCAGCCGTGAGCTCCTCCGGCCGGGCGACCTCCGGCTGGCGGCGCGAGCGGCCACGGTCCCGACGCGTGATCACGGCCCAGCGGCAGCCGCCGGTGGGCGCGGCCGTCCAGGGCCCGGCAGACTCTGGCCAGGTGCCGACAGCTGACTCATGGTGCGACACATCCACCACATGCCTGCACCCAACGAAAACACTCGCCAACGTAGACTACCATTAATCACAGTTTGATAGATTATTATTCGTGCAGTGCAGGAGGGCAAGTGCTCCTGGACCCCAAACCAAGTACCCGTGGTATAGACTATCATAAATGATAATTGGATGATGCAAATTTTTCGTCTTTGATGTTGATTTAACCATTGTCCCACGGAATTTTTCTACATCTTCACTCTAAGGAAGAGGGGCGACGACTCATAGGACCCACGTGATATTTTGAAAACTAGCCAAGCTGGCGCCACGGGAAAATGGCGCTGGAAAGCTCTCGTCAAGCCGCATCAGATACGCGCGACTGAACAATGACTAATGTGACCTTTAACATGTCAAATCTGGTCCTAGGAGTCAGATGCCTCACCATCGCAAAAACCTAAGCATTTTACTACGATGCAGAAATGGCGAATGACGAATTCTGCAACTGTTACGATGCCCATATACATAAATTGCGACAAATATTTGCTGTGGTTTCTGGTGATGCAAACAGCGTCGGCACCACTGCATGTTACAGGTGTGTGTGTGCAACGTAATGTCTGGACAAAGGACGTGTCCCAAAGAACCGCCGGTGACGTTGTAGCCCAGCAAGACATCTGGCAAGCCTGTGTAGCGCCCTAAATGCACTGTGCCTCTGTTGCCATGAACAGCCGAACAAAGAGCATGACTACAGAGACACTGGGGCAGGCAGCAGGACAGAGCATGACTGCACAGACACTAGGCCAGGCAGTATGACGGGGCATGACTGCAGAAACACTGAGCCAGGCGGCAGAACAGAGCATGACTGCAGAAACACTGAGCCAGGCGGCAGAACAGAGCATGACTGCAGAGACACTGAGCCAGGCGGCAGGACGGAGCATGACCTGCAGAGACACTGAACCAGGCGGCAGAACAGAGAAAATGGCTAACTTAGCCCGCTGCCCGAGATGAATCAGTGAACCCATCCGTAAGTACAGTGACGAGCTATGTCGGACGCTTTCCGTTCCGAGAAGGTGGTTGAGTGCCTTGCTGGACGTTGTTGTAGATAAAGAAGTCGTCTTAGTTATCTCCCGCTCGTAATAACGCAGAAATGAACAAACAAACTACCGATCCATGCATGGCTCTTGGCATGTACGTTTTGTCATTATCAGCACAAGGTTACTTAAACACTTTTTAACATCTCGGTTCAGAGGATCGATAACGCGGCCAAAAAATTGCCTCGTTTTTGTTAGGAGTGGCGGGCTGAACCTTGATGCCAACTGTCTTTTGATTAGTTTTTGTTGGCCTCTTCAGTGCACACCCGGAACATCAAACAAACACGCCAGGGTCACAATACAGTGCATTGAACGCAAATATGACCTCACTTACAAACAGAATTAATAGGCATGTGCAGGCGTCACAAAAAGAGCCATCAGCACAGAATTAGGGGATGGGTCTCGCCTGGTCTTGTGGCACAAGGGTGTTGCACACCAGAAGTACCTCTGAGCTCCGAAAACGGATCCCAGGATCTTGGGTGTAGAACCCGTCACCGAAGGGCAGCATAAGAACTGAAATATTTCCTTTCCTTTCTGGCTTACGTTTGCTGGGCACCACAGCCCCACCCCCTCCCCACCCTCCTGGTACGTTTGGCAGACCCAGCACCCACATTCCCGGTCATTGGCAAACAATCGCGTGAATTGAGGGCCGCTTACGCCGCATCCTCGACTGAAACGCTGGTTCCGGGCTCGCACGGTGTGGTTCAGGGCAGCATTTTGGGGCCGATATTGTTTTAACTGTTTTCTGTTGACCTGCCTCCCTTTATTCACCATGGTCAACTGACAAATATACCGATAGAGCTCAGGTCTCCGACGTGGACGCTCGGAACTATGTTGACGCTGTTCGTGTTAGGGTGGAGACAACCGCTGAAAACTGCGCTAAACTGGTTCACACAGAACACTCCCAACAGTAAAGCACGTAAGAGTGATCTCCTCTTTAAATATCAGCTTTGCACTGGCCAAAAAGGTAGACCTTCAGCGTCCGTTAAGAGTTTTGGTGCTATGGTGGGCTACTATCCAAACTGGGAACAGCAGGCATCTGCCACCGTAAAACGCTGTCCGAGCAGACCTCCTACAAATCGTGCCGTTAGGTGCCATTCGAAACGAAAAATGCTCTGAATGAAGGACTGTTTATGCCCATTTTAGAGACTGCCTCACAGTGTGGTGTAGTAGTTTGATCCAACGCAAAACATCTTAGAATTCAAAAGGCAGTAATTTTGATGCTTGAGTTGTTATTGGGATTAAAACATACAATATTTATCTGAAATAAGCCAGAAAGGCCTTGAGCTCCTGTTTTTCCGGCATCATGACTAGCATTTCGGAATTAAAACCATAACATACACCTCCTGCCTGGAAAATATTCGAGCGACTCAATGAAAAAGCTTTCAGAGAG